GTGTGTTTTCAAACAATCAGAGTTCGGGCTTTAGTCTTTGGCTGAACATATAGTTTTTTGTAATTTGATAGTATTATATAAGTTCTTCATGGGGTCTGATCTTAAAAAAAACCTTTTACAAGAACCACATTCCTTTGCACATTATGCTGCACATCTTTGGACCGTTTGCGCGTTCGGCCGCACACCACCTAAGGACCTTCCCCAGCGGAGTATCACATGCTTCTGCCCCTGTTGGGAACACTCACCATCAGCGCCCTTGAACTCGACAAAATACATCAAAATACTCTGAGCTTGACTCATTTGGACTCAACAGACCGGTGCCGGCCATCGAACGCGTGACGCACACTCTGACATTGGTTTTCAGTTAACTCAATTCCCCGAAAAAATGGCGATGGAACGAAAAGGTGGAAGGGTCAGCGCACCTGGAATGTTGAGCAAAGTTTTTTGCATGACTGCAGCTGGACAACAGTGGAAATCGGCTCATCAGCTAGAGAAAGGTTTGGGGGAGTATCGCGCAAACCACCATGGAAGCAAACCAAGGAAGATTAGGGTCACAGCGTGGTCAACAGCTTGGAACAGGTACACAGTGGGGCATCCCCCACTGCATCAGCACCTAATGCCAGTGGTGTCCCGTCCCCCTGCGTGGAAACTGCACAATGAAAAATTCAGTGCCCTGCATACTGGGGTTGACACACACACACACAGTATGCCGTGAGTCGGCGCTTCTGGAGAGAGGCTTGGCGGTCAATAGCTTGCTTGCTGGCTGGCTGGCTGGCTTGCTTGCTTTCTTGCTTGCTTGGCTACTGGCTTGCAGTGCGGGAAGTGGGTGAAGTGGGGAGTATCAAACATTGAGGCATGTAGGCTTGCGGGAGTGCATGTTGAAAGGGCGTGGCAGTGACATGGGGTGTGGAGAAGGAGCTGTGTAATTGATGGCTGTGGAGCGGTGTGGTGGATGCAGTAGCACGGCTGCTGGTTTGGTTGGATTTGATTAGCAGCGTTGTTGTTTGTTGCCCCATCGAACCGGAGTAACAGTGGTCAGACTGACATGTCCCCGATTCGAAGGAAGTCGGCTGCGCGGCTTTTGGCAAGCTGAGCGGTTGGGAAAGAGAGGAAAAGTTTCAGCCAGAGGGGAGCGGAAAGACAGCCGTTGTTCCCGCGCATTTGACTTAAAGGCATGACTTGTGCATTCAGTGGCACGGCGTCTGCTTTGGTTGGATGCGAGTATCAGCAGTGAGTGTCTGTAGGGCGCCATGTGTTTGGGATGGGAGGTTGCGGAAAAAGAAAGGAAGGAGAAAGGAAGCTGGCATAGATGCCTGACGCGTGGCTGATGGTGCCGGACTGTGAGGGAAAGTTAAAATTCAGGCGCCCCTGCCCGCTGTTGTCCGGTAAGGTGCAAACCCGGCGTATGGAAGGGGAAGGAAAAAGGGTTGTAGACCTGCTTGTGGTGTGTGGCTGGAAAAGTTGGTGGTCGGCGATGATGTGTGAAAATCAGTCAGCGAAAGGCCCATGCACGTAGGGTGTAGAGCCTCGTAGGCCATTGTAGGCCATTGTTCTTTGTTGCCCCATCAAGCCGGAGTACCAGCGGTCAGACTGACATGTCCCCGGTTCGAAGGAAGGGCGGTCGGTTGCGCGGCCGTTGGTAAATTGAGCGGTTGGGAAATAGAGGAAGAGTTTCATGGTGCTGGGAGGATGATGCTGTTGTGTTGGCTGTGGTGGTTGGTGGGGAGGTCGTGTAAGCGCGCAGCGGCTGACAGAAAGAGTAAACAGAAGAGGCGAAGAGAGAAAGATAGGTGTAGCGCCGCGCACATCTGTCGAGCAAAAGTGCCGAATGAACGGCCAATTAGGGAGTGAGACCCCTGCACTCTTGAATTTCCGCGTGCAAAAAATTCCCGAGGGAAAGAAAGAGCGAACCGAAAGGCGAAAGGTCGGAAGACTTGAAGGTGTTTGAACACTTGTTTGGCGCAAGTCTGCACTCAGTCCCTGTGCATTAGCCGCTTTACTGAACCTAATCTCCGATAGAAAAGCACCCTGCATTCTTGAAATTGCGCGCGCGAAAGAGAACCCTTTGGAACAGGGGGAGGCACACGCGCAGACAGCCGTTGTTCCGGCGCATTTGACTTAAAAGGCATGACTTCTGCATTCAGTAGCACGGCGGCTGATTTGGTTGGAGTTGCTTATCAGCATTGTTGTTTGTTGCCCCATCGAACCGGAGTAACAGCGGTCAGACTGACATGTCCCCGGTTCGAAGGAAGGGCAGTCGGCTGCGCGGCTTTTGGTCATCGAGCGGTTGGGAAACAGAGGAAAAGTTTCAGCCAGCGTTTTGGTTGTTGTCAAGGTGGGAGGAGAGGGCGTGAAGGGGAAGGAAAAAGGGTTGTAGACCTGCTTGCGGTGTGCGGCTGGAAAAGTTGGTGGTCGGCGATGATGTGCGAAAATCAATCAGTGAAAGGCCCAGGCCTGTAGGGTGTAGACCCTGGCGTGTGGAAGGGGAAGGGAAAAAGGTTGTAGGTCATTGTTCGTTGTTGCCCCATCGAACCGG